ATGCGCCATGACACTTGAAAAACATGGTGGCATTCCTTCCGAATTTGTCACTGAAAAATCATCTGGAATTGATTATTTTTAAATTCTTGTGGGAAATATAACTTATTATATTGCTTACTTAATTAAAATAAGCCGGCTTTAATTTTAATTTTCACGATTTAGGGTTTCTAAAGGCATTTTAATTAGCTTTTAACACAAACAATTGAAATTATCGATGAGCATGCAATGAACATTTTATAATTTAAACACTGATTGAAAATTGCTTCTTTCATGTAAAAATTAGGAAGCACTCCTGAAGATAAGAAATTATAGTGTTTATTTTACTTGTGATCAAATATTTAATTTATTTGCATTTCATAGTAAAAACAATATAACCATCAACTTTTATATCTCCAACATATACCAATGAAAAATTATATAAATGAGTGAATAATGTTATGAGGTTCCAACCTAGAATTTACAGCTAAGTGTGTGGAAGCTTGAGAAATGGTAAGCGAATAATCGCTTTAGTTCAGGACACAGACACGTAAACTTGAGAAGGGTTAATTACCCTTTTTTGCTCAAAATAAAGTTCATAGATGGCCCTTTCTTAGGACGTACATAAAAGCCTCCACTTGGGCTTGAACTCAAAAATACTAAGAAATAAAACTTAACTAAAAAGATATAGCCGAAGCTTATCAAAATTCTACAGGAGTTGGCCCCTTAAACGCTAGCTAAACGGCGAAGCTATCAAGGGCCTGAAAATACGGCCGTGCGTAGTAATAGCTTAGAGAGAGTGTAGCCAAAAGGCGAACGCGCGCTAGTCAGAATCTCTGGCTCTCTCTCGAAGTCAATGGAACTTCGACTTTAAGTACTGCTCTTTCTTCATCTGCATTTAACCGCGATTCTGAAAACACATTCTGGTAGGAAATTGTAAGCTGAAGTTAGGAAAGACAGGAAAGTAGCTTTAACTAAAAATAACTGTTAACAACTTAGGATAAATGTTACAATGTCATTATTCACTATATATATATATATACTTAATCTAATAACTTATTAGGAATATACTTAAATCTAATAACACAAAAAAACCTAAACTGAAACGTTCATATTTATAATGAGGTAATAACTTAACAAACAACGTAATACGTGATTGAAAAATTATGAATACTGAAAGAAAAGTAACAGAACTGTAATCTGCAATTCATCAAACGAATTCTTTCGATCACATGCAAATGTATATCCTCATTATTTCAGTATCTATAAACTAAAACTAAACTCAGTGCCGCAAACAGCCCTATTTTAGTCTAATGGTAGATTACCATGATTATTTCAAACACTTTTAAAAATCAGTAACCTTTCCTTCGATACTGCACATAAGAGCGCATTATATTCCTGTACATCGCTCTCTTCGTGCATTAAAGCTTTCTAGCACTTAACACAGCTGTCTCCAAATCATTCGTAGGAAAATATCATTATTAATCAGATTTTCATCGATAGTGAAAACATTCTGAAATTCATTCTAATGTATACATTTTGGTACTTTATTCCGTTAATTTATTTAAGTGAACATATTTATTGTCAAATCATATTTCAACCTTCATTTCTTTACCTAACATTTTTCAATGCTTGAAGGCGAACAAAAATAAAATATAACAAATACTACATCAAACAATTTATTAATCACCAATTAAGTATTTTCTTTCGGAGTTTCTCTAATGTTTATGTCAATATGTAATATTAATTTCTCAAATTTATTAATTTTTTTGTTTTCTTTGAAAAGTATAAAATGCTTTATCTTCTCCGTTAATTTTTTCTGTCAGGAAAAGCAGAACAAAATGGTTTCCAGTCATATATGTTGGACAGTCAAGAAATATATAAATCGCAGCACATCATTTTTAATATGGGTCGTTTTCATGGAATTCGAGAAATCGTTCCATCTTTATTGATGAAAACATCTTCTCGTACAACCTTGTCGTTTCGAAAATGGTTTTCGCGAACATTTCTTTTGGATGAAAAGAAATTCACTTGACTAATCTTACCTCCTCGCAAATGCATTCCTGAGTCATAACTTGGAAATTTTAGACACTTGACCTGTTCCAGCATAATTAGAGTTACCCTTTGGTACACTACAATGATCAGCTATGTTATATTGACATGTTATATTGGCAAAATTTACATTAAACAAGACTGACAGCACACCTCGTGCCAGCTTGATTGATTGACAAGATTATCGAAAACGATAAACGATAAAATGAATCATCCTGTAGGTAGTTGACGAGTGTTATCCCTTCTACCTTCACAAAGTCTATGCTTAAGGCCCGTTCAAATTGGGGTTACCTGAGCTAGCAGAGACGTCACAACCAACTTAGATTCAAGAGACTGAAAAATCACTTTTTCGGCACACCAGAGCCAAAGAACGTGTACGTAAAGAAGGAAAGCTTCTCTAGACATAATGTATTTGCCAGTTTGACTACTGCGCCGCTATATCGCGGAGGGGCAAATTCTCGTCACCAAATTGCCAGATGTACATTAAATTGAGGAATACAGTACAAAATCAAAGAGCGTACGGAATTTGGCAAAACTTTTCGCGATAATTTAAACTCGGATTTCTGTATATTTTGTTACTCAAAATAAATAATCCTTACACCGGTTCGCCAGCTATTTCGCGTACGCAAAAACGTATTAAGGTTGGATAGCCCTTGTAAAGTAAACTTAAAGTATGTTTTCCCCTCTGCCGGTCTGATAGAACCACTCCTGTTTTGGCGAAGTTTTCGTTCTTAGCATACATATACTTTGCCAGAGCTACGATTTCCTATTTGAAATATCTCAGCAGCAGTGGATATATGGAACTAACCAATTACGAAAGAACGATTCTGTCATCATCAGCAGCAGCAGAGCTCCAAGTTATAACGCGCAACCTTGCTGACGATCTAAAACAGAGCTTCTTAAAGAGATAAGTTGACCCTGTAAACCCCCTGTATATTTTCACGAAAGAAAATTTAGGTGTAAAATGACAATTATATTATATGATGTGAAAAACTAAAAATAAAGTAGGATTTTGTGGAAGTAAAGAACACTACGCAGAAAAGAAGTAAGCAAATTAGCTTATTGGATATAAACGTTATGTAAGTGTAGCTTACTGGATGTAGATTAATTTTAACATATTCAAATAGATAAATTTTCAGAAAAAATGATGTACGTATACTCATATAAAATACCAGAAAAAGAGATAAAACTATTTTAGATAGAAATGCTGTTTAACGAGTTCCAATTTTTCGAAACCACTAATGTGTGTAATGTGCAATTTTTTGGGGGGAAGGGGGCTAGGAAATAAATAAAACTAGATTTATTGGTTTTCTCTTACGATTTATCTAAGTAAAGTAAATATTTTGGTAGAAAAGAGAAGCATTGGCGGAAACAATAAAAGATGACTATCTGATTTTCGGTTTCTGTTTCTGATCATCTAACATGAAAATTTTTATTTCAATGCAAGTGAATTTTTTGTTATTATTATTATTATTATTTCCTGAAATAAAACCACTATGGAAATGCTAACCTAATAATGAGTAAGTACGCAGTAAGAATCATACATTTGAAAATATTATGGTATAAAATCAAATCTTGATCCTATGAAACCGCAAGGACCGTCAACTTTATGCTTAAAGTTAAAGGGTCTGTTTCCGGCTCTTAAAACACTCGTTTTTAATGCCATTTCAAGGCCGTAAACATACTGCTTAAATTTTTTTTCTCTGATTCTTTCTGCATGTGTAAGCAGCTGGATAAATTAAGAATGCAGTTAAAAGTGGCGAGATAAAATTCTTGCCAAAGACCAAAAGGCTTGGTAACCTTTAACTGCATTTTCAGTTCTTGTAATTTTTTTAGCGTCAGATTCCTGTCATTTATTTATGAGAATATAATGACTGAAAGCTGAGCAGCTTGAATACTAGTCCAGAATTTCAAATTTAAATTAGCTTACGCTCTTAAGGACTCCAGAAATGGAGTTTACATATCCAGAAAACTGTTGTGATTAACGACATTAAAATTTATTGCGATATTGTTACTGATGAGATAAAATTATAAACATTTAAAGCAGTTTCTTTTCCTTCAATGACGCTCACAAAAATTACTACGATCTTCAGTTTAAATCAAGCTTATTTGAAAAAATGCCAATTAATTTGGTAAGCAGAATCTGCAAATTTTCGGGAAAAGAGGCTGTATTCTAGTCGGAAAATATATTGTTATTATTAATTTGATAATAATAATAACCTAACATAGGAGATGCTATTAGTCTCAAACCTTACCTTTTTGTGTATATAACTTCAAATGTTGTTGCCTAATGTTATTGACATACATTAGTTTTAAAAAATGATGTAGCGAATATTTAACAAAAATTGACATTAATTAATGCGACACTCAGCATTTTACTGGAAATCCTAAAGATATCCAATATAAAAGAATTTTAACTTCCATGTCTCAGTTTGTTTCCATTTGGTGAAGCGTAAGATCTTTAATTCTTCTTTTAAATTTTAATCTTTCTGTTAGGAATAAACTAACTTATTGAGAACACGTGATTTCACACTAGCTGTGTTTATTAAAAGCATTATCTATATATAGATATATATGTTCTAGTATTTCCAAAAACGTTATCGCAAGCAGCATTATCAATCAGATACTAATAATCAAAACTATTTGTACTCCAGTTGATGGCATTTAATAAAGAAATTCAATATATAAAAAGCGCACGCATTAATAATCTTCTTGCATTCAGATTTATTGAGATTCGAATCCGGCGAACGGGATGGCTGCATGGGCGTTTTCGTGTTTTTCCCCATGTGTAACGTGTATACGAGCCAGTTTTCCTTAGAAAGTCCTCCACTAAGGCATCCCTCCCTTTAGGCAGATAGCCCTCGTGTGCTTTGTCATAATTGAATAATCCACTCCAATCCATTCGGATTTATTAGCTTAATTCTCCAAAAATTGCACGTTGTGACATTTTAATTTATTGTTGCTTATGATAGGATTCACTTAAATCGCGTTTGGAGGTAGCTGCTGGATTCGTAACAGGTGAAACTTGTACAAGTATCTCTAATACGTCTTTCAGGTCTCACGATGTTTGTGGAGGAATTGCATATACCTGTTGTTTGAGGTATCCGCACAGTAAAAGGCCCATTGGAATCAGATCAAGTGAACTTGGTGGCCTGTCTTCGAAACCACCATACCTTCCATCAGGTACTGCTTCACTAGTATGTCTAGTGCGCAGGCGCGCCGTCATATTGGAACCCTCCATTCCGAAGTTGAAGCAACGGCAGGTTCTGAACAAGATCGGATATTACGTTATGTAGAAATTCTAAATATCGTGGGGCCGTTAGCGTACCCTGATAAAATTGTGGACCGATTATTTTAAATTCCGCACCAAACATTAAACGAAAACCGTATTTGATATTGTAAATAGAACAGGTCGGATTTTCCAGCGCCCAATAATAGGTGTTCTGCCCCTTTATTCCGAAAACGCATGCCTCATCCGTCAACACTATATCTGCCAAGAATGTTGGCTGAACCACTATCTGATTCAGGACGAAGTTGCGGAACTTCGACCATGCAAAACTTCTTTCAGCATCTCCGTCCAGTAATGCCTGATGAGTGTTGACCGGTATGGGTTAACACCTAATTCGTTTTTAAGATTTTCCAAATGCGACTTTTAGAAAGGCCACAATTTTCACTTATTTCTCTTGTGCTGCTGTTCGAATATGTGAGGCCGTATGATAATAAATCTTTCGGTTTTACTTTCTGCGTTACCTCAGCTACTCTGCCGGATCGAGGTCGGCTAGTCACGCAGCCTGTATTCCTTAAACGTTTCATAGCCTGTAGGATGGTTTTGTCTGAAGGATACGAACCTGCAGGAAAAAGTTGCCGATGCAACCGTGCTGCCAATTGTCCCTTGCACCCACATTCGCCGTAAAATGGAACCTTATCACAATAATAATTTTTTAAAAATAACTCATGACCATGAGCTTCAACATACAAGCGCCAAGAGATATTATCCTAGCGATAACATATATAACCTTTATAAACATAATTTCTTAAATATTAGTCTCTGTAATTTTTCTGTATATGATATTTCATGTAACAATTCCCAAGACGCAGTCCCGGCTTGTCGGAGCAAGTATTACAATAATAGTATGTCGTTTGATGCCTTTTTCCTGGGTTGATTTCTCTGAGCACAGACTTTGTGATAGATGAGAAAAGATAAGATTTCAGATATGAAAATCTTATCTCCATTTAAAGAGGTATCATTTTACACGTCATAAGATTATGCAGAAAGAGCGTAGGAATCCGCTTCAAAGAAACTAAACGTAAATAGTTATTGCCGCGCATCCAGTTTCCACATCAAACCTAATGGTGAGTCACCTCTCAAGTTGCAGCCTCAAATCACATGGTAAGTGAGAGTCACTTCTCGAGTTGCGATATCAAATCACATGGTGAGTGAGAGTCACCTCTCGAGTACAAAGGGTTAAAATGGTGTCTTTATTTAAAAAAAGTTGCGCTTTGCAGTAAATAACGAATACTAGTATGTAAATTATGAAACACCATGAATACTCTTATGGTGACCCCTCTGAAACTGACCAGTATTTCCTATATGGTAAATAAATACTGATATTAAGTGTAAGTTCTCTAAGACGACAACCTCTGCAGAAGGTCAAAATTGTCTAGAATGATGAGTGGTTCAGGGAGGGGGAGGGCTACAGCTTTAACTTTCCGTGAGCATGGTCTGGCTTCTTTTCTATTGTGGAGGACGGCGTAATTCACCGGCGTGTGGGAAAATTGCAATTATATATAAAATAAAAATTTTAACAAAATAATAGTAATATTATTACCAAGCAGTCCGCAATAGACTAAAAGGCACAGCGCAATGTAACGATAGATCCTTTTGGATAATTTAGCCAGCCCCCCTTTTTAAATTCACAGGATAAATTTAGCTTTATTTGAAATGATTAACTTACAATATAGCATTCATTAAAAGATAAAAATAACAGTTATTAATTATTAATTATTATTTTTTTTAAAATGTAGTTTTAAATTCTGTATAGCTGTTTAATAGTACTTGAAACATTTTAAAACCAGTTTCCTGTATTTCTGCATACCCTACGTCTCTCTTCCATGATTGCTTGATATACCGGTGTTTCTGATAGTATCCGGATATTTATGCATAGCTTCAGGTAGATGTTTTCATAAACTTCAGTAACAAAGTGATTCTTTAAACAGCGTAGCAAAAAAGCAGTGAACCTATACTGCGGGCTCAACATAATGCAGTAAAAATAATATTTGATGATTTTGATTGGATTAAATTTGGTTTTCTTATTAACTTCTACTCGTCTGATCTTCATCTAATTTTTTATCGACAGCCCCGCGAGAGTGAAAGGGATGTGTGTATGGTGGAAGCGGAGAGGGGTGGGAGACCTTCGGACTATCACCTTTGCGGTGCTGTCCCTCAAAATTAGGGTGAAAGTAGAATCCAACCTCCTTGAGGCTGTGGCAACCACTCTTCCGTGAAATTCATGGACAAGACAGCAAGTGTTTTTGAAATAACTGAAAATATCTGCAATATTGGGATGTTTTTTTCCTTTTAAATAAAAGATCTATTTTCTTTAATTTAAAATATTGTTTACTTAACCGTATTACGGAAAGCAAATATAAAATAGAATTTTTATCGAGGTTTTTAAAATAATTAGTTATTGTATCAATATAATGGCATTTAGAAAGTAATGTACCGCGCTTCTATCACATTTTAACTACTCCAAAAGCTTTAGGTATATATGAGCCAGTTTCCCTTAAAATATCCTGTACGAAGGCATCCTTCCCCTTAGGCAGATGGCCCTCGTGTACAAATAATTTGAATAATTTAATCAAGAATTTTGAATTGGATAAATCCTTTATGCAAATCTCTTTCACTGACAGTAACGTTTAACGGCTCTACACACTGTCTGAAATCCTGTGTGATCATCTTAAAAAGGGTTCTCTCCATCTATTCACTTTTAATATATAGCAAGTGGTATTCGAAAGCGCATTTAATTTTGGACGTAACATCCGCTTTATAACGAGGGAGCGTTCTTTTTATTTACGATCTGTTGTTTATTCCATCATCAACACGCTAAGGTTACTTCCTTTAAGGAAATAATGCCTTTGCTAAGAACGTTCTAAAGCAAACCAACTAGCTTGAACTCGTGTATACATAGGGAAAATCATAAAACATGCTATCCATGTAGCCGGCTTGTGCATTGCCATAAAAAGCCGAGTTGAACTACCAGTGTTGAGGTATCTTATCCGTTACTGAAGCATTCACCTCTACATATAAAAAAAGAAAGAGTCTGTGTGTCTTTCGTTCGTGCTGCGCGTAAGCTTATAGACCCAGGGCTACGAAATTTGGTATATAGGTATATCTGGACAAGAGCCAGAGTACCTCGAAGCGATTTTTGCAAAATTCGAATCAGATTTTTTTAATTTTATCTTTTAGATTTTATCACATCATTTTGAATAGTTTCATTCTTTTAGAAATGTGGTTTGGGCAACAGTTTTTCATTCAATTTTTTGTATACTGGACTGCTGACTGTCGGAAATACCGAGATCAAATGCTACTTATTTTGCTTTTGATTTTTGGACACGCAACACGTACATCGCAATCTTATTCTGACACGCATGTGTCTCGCGAAGGCACAACAGAAAGAATTTCCTTTTTTTTTTTTTTTTCCCTTTCTCTCTTTAATGGCAAAGAGGTTTGTATGTTTTGAAATGATGTCATCCACAAAGCACTATTTTGATTGGTTATTGCTTTCCGATGATAGTTTCATTCTTTTAGAAATGTGGTTTTGGCAACAGTTTTGCATTCGTTGCTTTGTATATTGTACTACCGACTGTTTTCTCTTGCAAATATGAAATTCATTGCTTTATGAGAGATTTAATGAGATTTATTGTAATTTTTTTTATATTATGTTTTAAATATATATAATTTTAATTATATAAAAAGTTTTGCAGGAATTTGTTTAGTAAACAAAGTTCTTAGGAGACTTCCTTTATACCATTTGAATTAAGATTTTGTAACGGGAAATTAGTTTATTTATTAGGATAATTAATATTTGTATTAAGGGATATTGCTTATTTCATTATAATTTTGTTATATGTAATACGTTTTTTTAATTTGTGTTTTTTTAATGAAGTTGTTCTACAAATTAAAATTCTGCTCAGTTTTTAAATTTAACGTTTGATGTTCCCTTTAGGCATTTTTCTGGTACATTTAAAAGCCAGACAAAGGCTGGCCGCGTTGCTGCTAGTTTACAATAAAATACTACTTGAGAATTTTCGGAAAATAGTTGCTAAGCCCTTAGTAAGCGTCAATTTTTCATACCTAATAGGAAAACTAAAAACTTCAATGTGTACATCCCATTCTTGAATTATCCATTTTCTTACTTAACAGGGTAGCTAAGACATAACTGAACTACTTATAGTAATCTTCTCATAATTAATCTAAATTCGGAAAACGATGGTGTAATCTTAATTATGGTTTTTTATTGAATGAGCTGTGGTTCTCATTTTACGCAGCCTTATAGGCTCTAGTGTAATTTTCTTTCTTAGACACGTGACATCAACATGTTAAACGAACGCTTTCTTAAGTTGTTCATTTCTGAAAGTGAGTTACTTTAACTCCTTAAGAAGCAGGATATATCTAATTTAGTGAACAATGCAACTTGATAATTGAAGCAGAAGAGATGCGAGAATTAAGCGTGGACATGGACAATGTGCAGAGCGATGAAAAATGATTAAAGGGAACAATTATAATGTAACGGGCATCCGCTTGACCTTTAAATTCGCGAAGCGCTTAAACGAATAGATTACTTTCTTCATGTAGTAGTCCGTGTTCGGAACAAAGCATGGATTTTCAAGCAAATAAAATTATGTTCAGAGGTGAGCTTTTGTTTCATAAGTAAAGTTTTATCGATAATATTGAATAATTTTTATTCCTCGTATCAGGTTCAATGTTCCGTCTTACTTTCTTTGGGAACAAGCAAGGACCTGACTCGGAACAGGGAGCTTATTAAAGCTATGTTCAATAAATATAGGAAGTAGACAAGATACACAGGAAGGGTATACAAAACCCTTTCTTTTTCACTCTTTACAATAATTTCCGTACTTCAGAATACAGAGACCAACTACTTGTGGTCTGAACCTAAGAATATAAAAATATAACTAAACTCTAACTTAAATTTGGAATAATAAACGTGGAAGATTGGCCTTATATTAAACAGGAAGCCGTATGTAGTACAGAGAACTGTTAACACTACAATACGTT